GGCCGCCTCCTCTCTCGGCTGACTGCAGAGTGTGGCCCGGTGCCTCGGAGCAGGAAGGGGAGGACTGGGGGGGCTTCGACTGGGGTGCGCGGGCGCGCCAGGCCCAGGTGTTTATGTCAGCGGCTCCTTTGGGCTTCAGCTTCTTCTTGTCAAGACAGCCAGAGTCTCCCAGGGGAGCTGGGGCTCGGCGGGTGGGGTTCTGTAAGTCTCAGAATTTGGGGGTGCTGTCCCACGGGACTCATGCCAGCGTGTCTCTCTGCCAACCCCGCAGGACTGCGATGTGCCGAACCTAGCTGCGGTCTGAGAGGATGTCTGGGGTGTCCGAACCCCTGAGCCGAGTGAAGGTGGGCACGCTGCACCGGCCTGAAGGCCCCCCCGAGCCCGTGGTGGTGGTGCCAGTGGACGTGGAGAAGGGGGACGTGCGCATCCTCAAGGTCTGCTTCTACAGCAACAGCTTCAACCCCGGGAAGAACTTCAAGCTGGTGAAATGCACGGTGCACAGCGAGATCCGGGTGAGTGTGGCTGTGCGGCCTGTCCGGCTCCCGCCCGTCCTGCAGCCCGGCGGGCTCCGTGGGCGTCCCCAGGCCCTCAGCCTGCAGCACTGGGCCTCCTCCAGGGCCCCTGGGGGCAGCGAGGACGCCTTCCTTTGAGCGCCAGAGCCTTCCTTTGGCCTCCGCTGCACCTCGTTTCAGCTCATTGATAATGTGACATTGGAGGTGCCACAGGGGCAAAAGAACCCCCCCAAACCCCCCCCAACAAGAGCCACTCTGACTCACTGGCCCTCGAGCCTGCAGGGTGCAGGGCCGGGGCCGGTGGCCTAAGGAGGCTGCTGGCAGGCGTCCAGGAGGTGATCGAGCACGCGAGAGGCCTTGCGCCAGCAGGGTGAGCCCAGCCCTCCCCGGAGACACCTGCTGGCCCACTCTTGTCCGGGGCCACCGGGTTTGCCTCGTGGGCCGAGGTGCCCACCGTCCTCGGGACACACGGGCACCAGGAAGCCGGTTAGGCAGCCGTGCCGGTGGGAGAGCGTGTCATCAGAAGCGGGGGTCAGCGGCCGATGGCTCTCAGCCCCAAGGGCTGCCCCGCTGAGCCAACCGGCCGTCCCTGACTCGGGCTGTTTCTGCACCCCCGTTTGTTGAGCAGCTGGGTGTGCTTCTGGATCAGCCTGCGCTGTGTACGTGTTAAGATTTATTTATTTATGCACACAAGAACTGGGGTACAGGCCGGAGGTGCAGGGGGTGAGTGGAGTCACCAGAGACAGAGTGGGGAGCAGAACAGGGAGCTCTACTGAAACCCAATGCTGAGGGGAGCAGTGGGCGGGTCAGGAGAGGTCTGCCCTGTGGTCACTCCCAGCGGGGATGGAGCTCCTGCTGCAGTGGCTGCAGACAGCTTCATAGTGCTGTGGTTTTAGCCCCACGCCCCCAGGGAGGCCCCCTGCTGATTCTTCCAGCAGCTCTGTGTGGTAGTCCCCCAGGACACCCCTTCCCACCACCCACCCTGTTCCTGTGTGGGGAGGGCAAGAAGGGTCGGGTTGGTTCGCAGAAGGCCACTTGATGGGTTTGTCATTGATCAAACCCTCCAGGTCTGAGAAAGCTGGACGAGCTTGTGCTGACTGGTCAGCAACCCTCTCCTGACCTGTCAGCCAGCACCCCCAAACTCGGCGGTGTGTGCCGGTCGGTCGGTCTGCCCTCACCTCAGCGTGTGCCCCTGGGCTGCCTCCTGTCTGGCACAGCACGGGCAACCCTGCACCCAGCAGACTGATTGATGAGCGCGCGGCCTTGGCCACTTCTTCGCGCTGGTGATGGCTGGTGACTCCCTGTGTTCTCTGTAGCTGACTGATGAGGGCCCCTGTGTCCACCTCGTGCTTCCAGATTTGCAGGCTCAGTGCGTGAGCAGCCCTGGGCGCCCTCAGGGTAATGTGTGGGGGTTCTGTTTTCCCCTCTTAACCATCCGCTTCTGATCCTCCTTTGCCTCCCTTGGGGGGTCATTACTGCCGACAGGCGATACACCCAGTGGGGTTCCCTTCAGAGTTAGCCTGATTCCAGGTTTGGGGGCGTCTTCCTGCTCTTTTGTGCAAAGCACCAGAAGTTGGCCCAGATGAGGAAGGAGCCCGCAGCCTTCGAGGGAAGAGGGGCCTGAGGAGGCGGGATGTGAAGGGCCTCAGAGGAAGGCAGGGCCGTCCCGAGGGCGCGGCCAGGACAAAGGCTGAGAAGGGCTAAGCAGTGAGATCCGGAGGGTGGAGGGTGGGTCATGCCAGGAAGGAATCCCAAGTCCCATGGGAAAGGAAAGTTGAGGCCCTTGGGAGGGACTGGGCCCCCCAGAATCTGGGGGAAGGAGAGTCTGGTTAGGGGCGAGGCTTCCCGGAGCCGTCTGTGTCTAGTTGGGAGCTGAAGGGGGCACATACGAGGACCCCACCCAAGGGCCAGCGAGGCTGGGCGGGCGGCCTCGCCACCTGGCAGGGAGAGAGCAGAGAGGAAGAGCAAGGAGGACGGCAGAGGCGGCCTGCCCGGAACGCGAGCGCCCGGCCCTGCTGACCTGCTGCAGTCTGTCCGGCCGGCGGCAGCCACCTGCGTGTGGCAAATAGCTGTGACTTTAAAGCCACCTTGACCTCGAGCAGGTTCTGCGCCACCCTCTGGGCTGTCTGACCTCAGACCCGACCTAGGTGGCCCGGCGTCAGGCTCCTCGCCCGCCCACTCCCGCCCACGGCTTTGTGGGAAGAATTCGAGCAGAAGCTTCCAGAATACACGAGAAGCTCCATCGCAGGAAGCTTTTATGGGTGTTAGGTTATTATCCAATCGCCGAGGGTTTCTTAGTGTCCACAGAACAAAGCTCGAATTGTCTTCACTGGTTGTTTCCCCTCTGGCGGCCATATTCTCCAGCAGAGAAGTGAGGTGGTCGTCATCGCCCACAGCTGCAGGAAGTGTGTCCTCCAGGAGGGGCTGTGGGCAGAGGTGTCTGGGAGTGGCTGGTTAACCGTTTTGAAGAGTCCCCGGCCACAGGACTTCTCAGAACCTTGACTATGCTGCCGGGCACGGTGGGTCCCCCAAAAGGGACACAGAGGCCAGGGTGAGCCGTTTCCGACTCTAGTTAGAGTGGGGTCACCAGTTCTCTGGAAAATCATGCAAGGAGCTGTTTCCCCTACATCCTGATGTCGCAGAAAGGATTGGAGAAAGGAGTAAGCTGGTGGTCGAGGGGGTGGTTGGGAAGCTGGAGACACAGCGGGGTGGGAAAGAAGGGGCCTGACCCTGGGTGGGGGGTGTGGGGCGCAAGGACGTCTCAAGAGAGCCCACGGCATGGGTGGGGCAGAGTCAGCAGCATCCGATGATTGACTGGACGGAGGGAGGGAGGAGGGGAAGGAGCCAGGGATGACCCGAGCTCCAGCTCGGCCCCTGAACGGGTGGGTGCCGTTCATTAAGACTCGGATGGGGAAGGGAAGGTGTTCTGAGATCAGCCTTCTGTGTGCACGAAACACCCCCCACGGAAGGACCAAGAGGCAAGAATCCGGGAGCCGTTATGCAGTGAACGCCATACAGCTGGCTGGGGATAGCTGTGGAGCGTGAGGGAAGCCGGGAAGTGAGAGTTGGGAAGTCAACTTTCATGGTGCCGAAAGAAAGACTGGGTGAACACAAGGAAACCAAGAGTCATCTGGGAAAGATGAAGGAGCCAGGGAAGAGGCCGAGGAGTCAGAGGCCGGGAAACTTTGAGGAAAGAGTGGTTAGCGGTGTCAGACAGTGTGAAAGGCCAAGTCGGATGGGGCTGAACATAGGTGCATCGGCCTTGACCACAGGTGTGACTGCCGAGCAGCTTCAGAAGCCGGGGTGGGGGCGTGGTGCAGGGGCTGCGGAGTGGAGACAGTGAGTATAACCAGCACTTCAGAGAGATTTTGACCCTAGACGGAAGAAAGAGGAGAAGGCGTGGGGAACGGTGTCCAGGGTGGGGGGAACAACACGTGCAGTTTCAGAAGTGGGTGGGCGCGGACGATGTGACGGCTGCCAGGCGCCTCCCATAGGAAGCCACCACGGTATTGAGGAGTGTAGGAATGTAGGAACGACTGAGATTACATCTTTAACAGCTCACTTGAGTTACATGTGGAAAACAGGAGGCATGAATGGGTATGGAAGAGTCAGGAGACCACGCGGTGATGCAGAGGAGGGAGCCTGGTGGGCTGTGATGGTGAAGACAGTGACTGTGATGACGGCGAGGGAGCCATGTCGATGATGGTGGTGGTGGCAGCCATGTCGATGATGGTGGTGGTGGTGGTAATGACGACAACAGTGTCAGTGATGACGATGATGGTGATGATGGCGGTTGTGATGGTGACAAGCATGTCCATGACGATGGTGCCAGTGATGATGGTGAGGGTGGTGTGGGGGAGTGGTGATGACTTTGAAAACGATGGAGTGATGAAGAGATGGTGATGATGATGATGGTGGCGGTGATGGGAATGACAGCAACCAGCACTGTCAAAAGCGCGTCGTATGTACTATCTTACTGAATCTCAAAGAAAATCCCAACTACTATCTTTTATTACCGCCATTTTATATTGAAACTATGAGGGCTTTCAGAGAAATTAGGCAAAGTGCTAACAGGTGGTGGAGGCTGACCAGTCAATCTTCCTCCTGGGCCTCTGATCTTGACCACCATGGTCTGTGGGAGAAGTGATTGTAACCAGAGAATGCTGGGGGTGAAAAAGCCCTCGGTGATGGGCAGGAGATGCTGGGATGAGGACGAGGGGTTTCCAGACGCAGCTCTGGAGCCGGTGGACAGGGTTCCGTTCCCCACAAAGGAGAAGAAATCGGTTGGGGAGTGAGGTGCTCACAAGTTCAGTCTTGGGTCTGTCAAGTGCGACTGAGGTGCTTAAACATTTTCACAAGATGAGACTGACTCGGCTGTTGCTTCCAAGATTCTGGAGGAGAGAACTGGGCTGGAGAAAGACATGGCGTGTGGTCTGCCTCTACCTGGTGGTTGGAGCCATGACGTGGGTGAGATTGCTCCTGAAAGAATCCTGACTAGTTCCGTCATCCATTCCACAAATACTCGCTGGCTGCCCTCACCATACCTGGCACCATGCGGGCCGTGACCCGGGGGGAATCATGGTGCCCCCAAAGCATTCGCATACTGCTTGCTTTCGGGGGCCTTCTGGCAAGTGTGAGCTTGACATTGACTCATCCTCGCGGATGACCTGAGCGGGAGGCCAGTGCCCCACAGGGAGCCATCCCGTGCAAGCCCAGGCCCAGAAGGCTCCGTCCCAACGTGACAGCTGGCTTTGCTGTTCAGAACGCTGACAAAACAGAAGCCCCCGAGGCTCGCCGGCGGCCCACACGGTGGCACCTCTCCAAAATGCAGACCCGCCATGTGCAGAGTGCAAACGTACGCTCACCGATGCCATGACTTTCATTTGCTTCCCCGCATCTGTCTGCATGGACGCAGTGGGCAGAGATGCCGTCCCCACACGAAAGCCCCCCCTGGGCTTCAGACCCGCCAGAAATCAGGCAGCTGTTGGGGGCGGGGGGTG